ACTATAGTCATGGAGGAAATAAAAATAGGTAAGCGCGATATCAGTAATTTCACACTTAATATACCACGTGTGTCCACACCAAAAGTAACGCGAAATTATTATTATTTTCGATGACTAGTAATTGACTAGCGTGGACTGACTAACAATAAAACTAGTGATAAAAAGGTCATATATTTAACATTTTGATTTGTTCACAGGTCTGACGGCAACGGTCGATATATTATTAAATAAACGTGGATGGGCTGATTTATTTGAGAGTACCGAGTTTTTCACCCAGTACAAGTACTACTTAGTACTGATGGCCTCCTTCGTTAGCCCGGAGGACCAGCTGCAGGGGAGAGAGCTCGTCGAAACCAAAATACCGAACCTAATACGTAAGTGGCATATTTTATAAAGAACAAAGATATGCTTCATATTTTTATCTTGATTATTTTATATGTCAGCGTATATATAACGATGTATGTTTGTTACAGAATCACTGGACGGGAACTCTCAAATAAGTTTAGCCCACCTCAACCCAGAGTGCTATAAATCTGTGCCGTTAGACACTAATGATGGACAGCCTCTGGCCTTGCCACTAGGTATGTACTTACACTAATTACTGCTACTATATATCTGTTGTTTTATTCATGGGAAACGAGCAGACGATTCAACTGATGGTAAGCAATCGGCGTCGCCCGTGGACGCTCGTAAAAGCAGAGGTTAAAAGTGCGTTACCGTTGTTTTGGGGGTTAGGGACTAAGTGGTTAGAGATTGGGGATGAAGGGGGATTCTTCCTTGGGTTACGTTAATCACACGCCAAAACATGTCGAATGTTTTATTTATTTATTAGTATTACTGAGACCTTTGCTTGTTTGTATTTTTGCAACATCGTCTATAAATTCGTTTCTGTTTCAGGAGCATCAGTGCCGGCTGACCGTTCGCCAGAATTACAGGAGGACGAAAACGTAAGTAATTTGTAATTTCCACATTTTTTACAACTAACAACTCGACATAAAGTACAATCACATTCAATAATAATTCAGTACCTTACTTTTTTGCTTATATGACAGTCTCAATAAAAATTTAATCTATGTGTATTCCAGGGTGAAATCATAGCCAACTACAGCTCGATGTGGTTCATTGGACTAGTTCTCGAAAAGGCAAATCCGAAGGTGGATGTTAAATTTGAAACCCGGATCTTCAGGAAGGCCGTCAACAGTGAGGCAGAGACATCTAATGTTTTACGAGAAGGGATCTTAATTGAGGTAACTATCATTTCTTTTTTATATCTGAACGAAAACGTTGTAAATAGGTGACGAGTCACTACTGCATTATTAAGGTTCATACATTGGTCTGCTTGGAAATTCTTAACTCTAAACACAGTGGATTTAGTCTTTGCCACTTACTCTGATAATGGAGATGAATTCACAAATTGGAAAATCACGAACATTTAATGTGTAATGGGTTTTGCAAATAATCGTGGTGTGATGTTGCAGACGGAGCTAGTGGAACGAGGTCAGCTGTACCAGTACGTGTCCAGTCCCCTACTGCTCGGCGAGCTGACCTCTCCCAGCACCGAGCTCCATTCCAAGAATTACTATGAGTCCCGTCTTCCTCAAAAAACCAAAAGGTCTGCAGAGAGCAGCTTCAATATCGAAACACCCACGAAAAAACAAAAATCCTGCACTACCCCCATTAGTTGAATAATTCGTTTGTTCTTAGTATAGTATTACTGTTATTTTTTGACATTTATCCTTCATACGTATGTTTTATGACCAGGCCATAGCCACTGATACACATAATTAATATTTCAATCATATATTACAATAGTCCTGCGTCGCAATCGCTGACTGTCTTTGAGTGCACTTCCATAGTGCATTCAAGGATAATTGTCGGATGTCGTGGCATCGCATTTAGATTAAAATTGTTCAACGGGCCTCTGCGAGTTGGCTCCGGCCCCTCGTACGCCTTCCAAAGGTCCAGGTTCCTGTGGTCCTGTGAAAGGAAAGAACAAATATAATGGTTACAATTTAAGCGTTTATTTATTCGGACAGTATACACTTTAAAAATAATATTCAATTAGTTCAGACTTTGGCTCCTCACCTACTCTATTTTGTTCAACGTCCCCTCTGTCCATGTTTTTCCTACTATTGCTTTTATTTTGTCTTCCCATCTTCTAAAGTCTCTACCTCGATTTGTTTTCCTTTTTCTAGGATACCAGAATATGATGTTTTAATTCCACTTCCCAGCGCCCCTTACTGAATGCCCTGTCCATTGTCACTTTCCGTATCAATGTTTCCAATTTCGTAAACTTTCTGATAGTTTGGTTGCGTATTTATTCAGAACTAAGTATCTTCTGTATGTTCCTCTCAATTGCTGGTTTTTTTTTTGTTTTGAACCATATTGAGCCTAAGTTTGGCAACTACATGTACGAAATGGTAGTACACAGGTGTTGTATTGTTTGGAAGTCACCAGTATCATTTCCATTATTTTTCGAATCTTGTATCATTTGTCATAAATCAGTATTAGTGATCTGTTGACTCATATAGTAGGTGTGTTTTGTCACGTTTTCGATAAGTTCGCAGTTTATTATGACACTATCTTTAGTTGCATTTGTTAGTGTTTTGATTTTAGTGCTGTTCATCATGTTAGATCTACCTTGCAGCTAGCTGTGTGTAAACATGTTTTGTAGATGTTTTTTTTTTTGTTTCTGAGAATAGCAAATTGTCGTCAGCGAGGCGTATATGGGATATTTTTTCGCCATTTATATTTAAGCCATACAGATCCCAGATCAGTCAGTAAGATCTAAAGATCTTATCTTTTTCACTTCTGTTTGTTCTTTTTTTGTTCTTTCTTTTTTTTCTAACTTGATTGAAGCTGTACTATTTATTTGTATTTTTTATAATTCTGGTATACTTTACTTCGACTTCGTGGTTTTTTAGACAATACTGCATCTGTTCGTGTTCAATTAAGTTAAAGGCCTTGTTACAGTCGATGAAACCGCAATTATAAAATAAGTACTCCATATTCATTGTTCTTGTCAAAAAAGACTTCACAGAGTGTAGGTATATGGTTCGGTGTTGACTAACCTGCCGTAAATCTACCTTTTACCTTGCTACACTATAAAAGAAATTCGTTCATGATATCATCAGGTCCTGGGGCTTTAAACTTTCTTTTGTGTATTGATTGCCTTATGTATTTCTTCCTCTAGAATAGGCGGGATATTATTGTGGTTGTAAAGTCGGTAATAGTTATTTAACTCTTTCTGGAATAAAGGTATTTGTGAAAACTCGTTGGTTTTGACATAAATCTTTTGTTTTTTGTCGTGCAGTGTGGATCTTTCATGTTAGGCAATCATTTGATTTTGTCTGTTAGAATTTGATGAGCCTTTTTATACCACCTTTTTCATTACATTTTATTAAAACTGCTTGTCGAAAATATTCTCTCAGTCATTACTGATTTCTGTTTTAATTTCTTTGCTCAATTTTGCTATATATTCTCTTATAGGTTTTACTCGCTCTGCTAATTAGTAATGACCTTTTAATAGTTTCTTTTTCTAATTGATTGCCCTTAGTGTTAGAAAAAGTTCCTGAATGCAATATTCTCTTTTAACTAATTTTAATTTTAATTGACTAACTAGTTATAAGTGTCACTTGATAGGATAAGAAATTGAATTACCTGTGTGAATATGTAATATTTTAATACGGTAACATAATATTGTAAGAGATAGCTAGTCAAACTTTTGATTTCGATTGTAAATATAAATATAACAAGTATTACTGTGATATTAAAAATGTTCCAGGGTATTTACCTAGTTGTAAATAGTTTTAAGAAACTATTGTGCTGACTCAAACTGTTTTATTAATTAAAAAAATATTGAATCTATAAATCTGTTGTTTTGTTATCATTCCCTGAAAACATTTTGCTTTAGAGATCAACCCGATTTTTCCATACAATCTCATTTATCATACCAAGTATTGGTAAATACATACTTTATAGTTCACTCAAGTAAACAAATGAATCACTTATTAGCCTGTATAATATGACGATGTCATTTTACAATAACTGCTTTAAAACCGCTGAAAAAAGGGAACATTTGTAGGTACAAAGAGAGTAAAACGGGGTGAATAGACACAGTAGTTGTTGGGGGGTTGCGACGAATGCTTCGGCGATACCCGACACATGGGTAAGTGGAGGAACACCGGGTTGGTTTTTAGTCAGTAAGAGTCTGACAGTACCCTTCTCGGATGGGTCTCCATGAGGATTTTCCAACCCGAAACTAAAAAAAAGGGGTTAAATATGTAGATACTAGGAAAATTCGCTAACATCTATTCACCCCTTTCGTGTATTTTACCCTTCAAATTCTATTCACCCCGTTCTATGGTGCTGATTTCAATTACAGTATTTCCAAACAACTGTAGCGAAGACTACAAGAATTTATAGCTTAAATTAGTCATAGCTTCAAGTTTTTTTTGGTGCTTATTAGAAATCAGTGGTTAAAACTTGTATGCTCATTTATTTAGTACCTAATTAGTTTAAAGCCAGTTTTAGTTTCGTGGCCGGAGATCGTCGTTCGATCCCCGACAGTGTCGCCGTGTATGTCTACATCGCCGTGTATGGCGATCCACGATTCAGGCATTAAAGAAATATTCAAGAATATTGAACAAAGTAAAACTTTGTCAATGGCTACATTCATAAATCCTCGATTTAAAATTCAAGCTATTTTTCCGATCGGAATCAAGTCAGAATGAAGGAGAAAGTTAGGAACTCTGTGCAGGAACCATTTCCAAAATGTAACTTATACTGCACAAACCATTCCGGAATCCAATACTAGTGAGAAATATGAATTAAGTCCTTGGGAAATATTCGATTCGATAGTTAGTCAAGGTGTACCAGTCTGTGCGGCCATAAAGGAAGAAGATATGTTTATTATTACAAGCGTATGGAACTGTCGCCTGGAGTGATGGGAAGACCGAATTTAGTACAAATATTAATTTAATTATCAAACACTAACATGCATGGTCGCAACTTTGTGGATGCTGTTCTCAGAGACATTAAGTGATGATGACGCGCCGCTTATAGAAACCCACAGCGACATAGGAGGTGTGCGATGCGGCGAGAGTATTGAGGGTTGAGGGATGGAGGAATCGGTATAAAGAGGGGAGAAAATTGGACCTCAAGTGACCTAAGTCACCACGCAAAACACGACACGATCGTTTTTTCAACGTTGGTTTTCAGGGAGGCCGAGTTCCTTATTGACTGTGGCTTGACCGGAGTTCAAGCAAGGGTATTCGCGATGAAACAAGTCTCGTCCCTATTTGCTATAGATAATTCAAATTGTACACACTATATATTATAACTTGCTTAGATATATAAATAAAGACATTATGTAAAAGTGCTTATTTAAATTGAATAAAAAAATATTTACAAGCATAATGTTGATTCTTATTTATCGTTTTCAATCTCATATTGGAATCTCTTAAACTTTTCTAAAAAAGATAAAAATCGATATTTTCGATTATTGCAATAAACGTAAATAAATAATTATATGACTGAAAAACGTATAGTTTATTGTTTTGTCGCTCAACTATTTTAAACCACACCGAGACAAAAGGACACTTGGTTACAGACTATTGTTTTTCTATCTTTTTAAGCCAGAAGAAATATTATAAAGAAAGAAATATATAAAGGTATTCACACCATTCGTACATGTGGTATATTTTTGTTTCTAGACATTTACTATAGGGCATTTATTAAGCACAATTGGTTATAGTACCTAAAACACAAATAAATCAGTATCATAATTTTCATTGTAATTGCTACGCCGGTGCTACGGCGCTACGACGCGTCGTAGCAGAAATATCACGGCCGCGACGAACCTATAATTGAATAAGTGAAAATGATAATGGCGGCTCGCTTTGTGTATTCTGGTCCTTGCACGCCTCCGAGGCGGAGCATAGAGGAAAGTAAAGCCTCATTCCACCGAGAAAGCAGAAGCGGGGCGCGGAGGGCGGAGCCAACGAGACGGCAATACCTCTACTTAAGATCTTTTGTTTAATGAAAACAAAGAAACAATACCAGTAGTTTAGAATAGAAGGGACAGCCCCGTGACTTATTATTCAACTAATAACATCTTGTAAAAAGATGGCGTAGAATGGGTTGAAGATTTAAAATACGTTTTTACTTAACCGCATTACTTTTAACAAAGAATGTTTAGTACTTAAGCCAACTACAATACTATAAACAATTCTATTTTAAAAGAAAGTCAAGACAAAGTCGCTTTAGATAAGGAAGTTTTAAAAACCAATGGACAATAGTAGAGACAAATACGTGGAAACATATAAATATACGACATGTACGGAAGCTATAAACACATAGTCCGTCCTTTTGTCTTCTCTAGAGTAGACACGAATATTGTTACTGGTCTTTAGTTCATGTCTAAAAAAGAATCAGAATAAATAGTTTTAAAATGTTCAGCAAGTAACTGATAAAATAATTTTATTTCAAAAAAAAACATATAGCTTTATATGTAATATGTGTAAATTTTAAACTTATCTACATGAGGTCAGTATTTACTATTTAACTTTTAGGACGGCAAGCACACACGTTATTGTTAGCATCAGTGCTCGCCGGGGACGCCAGGACACCAGACGAGACGCAAATGCATTGCACAGATTTTTGGGCTTCGGTTAGGAATGAAAACGCAATCATTATGTTTTGACAGTTTCCTGTAAGGCCGTGATCACTACGGGTCAGCCGGCCCATTCGTGCCAAAGCATGCCTCTCGAAGACATTCTAATCTCGAATTATAAAAGATGATGTATTGAAAGTAGATAGAATAGTAGTACTATAGTAGATTGCACTCATCTATAAGCTTACTTATCTAAGCCCGTACAATAAGATTACCTAATGCCTGGGCCAAGCATATAGACCGACACGTTAAACTTATTTTGAATCAAATGATAGATATTTGTTTATCTAAAAAAATCACACGTTAGAGAACTCCTGGTATTTACAAAAATGTTTAAAGATGGCAAAACATATTTTTAACAAAAGAATGGTCAGTAGTTTTATTGCGGTCACAAGAATTAGTAATTTTGCAAATTCAATGGGTTTCGGGTGAACTGATAAGATAGATTTTAGACAAAAGAGTCAATGGCGGTATCGTGTGAAAGTTTGTAAATATTAATAAATAAAGCTTTCTTGTAAGGGCAAGGAAGGAACTTGAGGTAGTGTTCCTCGGAGCGTGATAGTGTACGGTTGTGACTAGGAGACTTTAACGACTTGACGCTGAGTTATTTGCTACTCGCCTAGAGTCATACGAGTGGAGTTTGTACTTAGTGCTTGCTGTGTGTCGTGTCACGTGTTAAGTGTGCGAGACCCCTGAATCGCTGAGACAAGTTGGTAAGTGATTGATCCTTTTACAAGAATCTGTATACTTATATTATTATATTTAGAATAAATGTTTCAAAGTGTGAATTGTTAATTGTTTCCTGGTGCGACCTTCGGGCGTGTGGTAAAAGTGTTAATGACGAAGAGTAATAATGTATTGTAAAGTCCATATTATTTGTACATTTCGATAATTATGGATAGTTATCAGATTTCAAATAATAAGCAATTATAACAAAAGAACATTGTAACTTAAAATATCGTAAACTTTGGAGAGTTAATCGTAAAGTTAGTACAGTGGTTGAACAGCAGGCTGTAACGCAACATTTTGCGGTTTCGTTAATCTGAATTTTTGTATGCAGTACAGCAGCACTATTGTTGTTAAATAGGTAGTTGGTAAATGTTCTCTTAAAAAGCAATATTGACGCCACATATTAAATATGACCTTTGATAACAGTACTTATTTGCTAAATCGCCGAAAATGCTTAAAACTGTTTTGTTTTGAAAAACCAGTCTTAGTGTAAATGCCAAAAGGCTCATTGGGGAATATTACTGCGGTGGACGCCTCTACACTGACAATCGTTACGTTTACATTAAAGAAAATTTAAATCGCAAAACGAGCCGCTATTTGTTCTTAAAGTTCGACCATTTCTATTTACTGGAAAATAACGTGGGTAAGGCGCCCGCTTCGCGAGGATACAGGTTCGAAACCTGGCAAGTACCAATGTCACTTTGTCCAAGTTATGTTTACTTTCTATGATAATTTATTGATGACGATCAGACAGTGGTTACATCCCTGGCATCGGTGATCGTCAAGAAGACTGGGCTTATCTTTTCAAATTATAAGTTTGAAATCGCTAATCTGCCTTGAGCAAGCGTGGTGATTAATGTTAAATCTTCTCGGCGTGAGAAGAGACCTCGGCTCAGCACTTAAGCAGTGGGCACTTATAGGCCGATGATGATTATGATACAATTTTATTTGTTTGGGTCGCCAATATAATTGATTACCGTTATACAATAATGAGTTACATATTCAACTTAAAAATAGTGTGTGATAGTTGGTTATTACACCAAAAATAAAATGACAGCATATTAATTTACATTGACATTATATAATTTGTCTATAAATCTGTAAGCCCTCGTTAAATGTACAAAATAGTAGATTAAGAAAGTTAAAAAAACAATAGAACACAATACAATAATATCAATATAATTTAAATAAAAAGTATTCTTTAAATAATAAAAAACATAAACAAAATCAAAATAAATCAAGAACGGAACTCCTATTCATGAGTAAAGTGCGAGTCTGTAACTTGAAACTAGTAGACCTTTTTTCAGTTCATTCACATAAGTGAATCTTTATTCCCAACTAGCTTTTGCCCGCGACTTCGTTCGTGTTCAATAGTGACTTCCTACAGATTTTTGGTATAAAAACAACCCTATATCCTTTCTCGAGTTCCACATTATATCTGTACCAAATATCATAGAAATCGGTTTAGTAGTTAAGGCGTGAAGAAAAGACAGTCAGACAGACAGAGTTATTTTCGCATTTATATTAAGATAGTAACTATTCAAAAATATAAAATCAATATTAAAGTGGAAACTGCGAATCAATATTCAAAAATAACTTGAGCAAACTCCTTTGGCAAAGATATACAGCAAGTTTTAATTTTAAAAAGTCTAGTTTTTGTGCCTATTTATTATAATAATAAATTAATTGTTTCATTACGCACCTTACACAACTAAGATACCGGAGAAAATCCTCGTGTAGAGCAAAGCTTTTTAACTCATGTAACTGTTCGGTTACAACGCTCGAATAGTTTCAAGCGAATAGTTTCGAGTATCTCGCATGCTGTAGCTTTTCAAAAATGTAGACACGAGAGCAAAACCGACACGAATAGTACAAAGAGGTACACCATTCCCTATATAAGTGTTTGTTATTGATCATATCAGTAATGAAAGTATGTTTTTCTTCGTTTTAGATTTTAGCCACTGTCAGCAATAGTAGCGCAGTACCTACCAAAAGCAATTTTGATTTTAAAAAGAAGTTTGAAGAAAAAGAAGTAGTCATGTCGATGTTGCTATGGGCACAACAGATGGAAAGGGCGAGCTTCTCCCCTGTTTTTATATTGGGTATGTTATCGAGTTAAATGTTATTTTTTACATTTACTAATGTTACTATCATACTTATTCCTCATACGGATTGCATTGGAATGCATAATGTCAAGATAACTAACTCCCGGTAGCAAAATTAACTTACAAAAACATTTTATTCCATAAGTTACAAAATATATCTGAAGGCACCGGGGGGTTGGTACAAACATCAACATCCCGATCATCGTCTTCACAGTCCATAGTAGGGCGTAGGATTTTATAATCAGACCGAATAAATTACAAAAATAACGGACGTCGGCGATCCGCCTCAGATGACAGCCATAGCGGTCGCTCTCCACCAATGCGCACGCAGAACTGCCAGTTTGACGTTCCGCCAGAGTACGATTTATGGTACCCTCGTCCGATAAATTGTGATAAAACCTCCGACATATCTATGATTTTTCTATTATTGTAATCAAATGTTTCGAACAATTATGTCATAATTATGTTATTTATAATATTTGTTCATATTTAACAGCGCAAAATAGTGCAAGACGACACATTTATATTTATATTATATTTATATCGCAGTTTACAATGCAAGTACTAAAACAAATAAAAATTGGTTTGGTTAAGTTTATCTTCATTGTGACGGTATTACTATAAAAACTTGATACATTGTTTCTTGTAACGTGTCATAGCTACATACACGTATATTCGTGATCACTCCGCATGTTGCTTTCGATGTATAAAAATTGAGGTTAAGTTTTGTCTGAATTCAGTGTTTCGTAAACGGACAGATATTGCCAATGTGCTGCTATCGAAAATTTTTAATAAAAAGGTAATAATAATTTGTAACACAAAGTGCGTTAAATATTGTTTAGTGACTAATGATTAGTTCTGTATCAGTGCAATGAACTATCTTGTAAGGTACATGCGACTTGTGTAGATGATAGTAAACAAAGATATAAATTTCTATAAGTCATTATATCTTTGTATTTGCAACCAGATTCAGTGGTATTGTTGGTTACTATAAAAACTTCTTTTTTTGATTTTCTTGTACCAACATCCTTATATGGCACACCCTACTGATTGCTCCAAGCATTCTTGGCATGACACAAATTTCGTAGATTTCTCAGTATTCACCGTTACTGTGTGACCAAAGCCATGACAACTTAATTTTTTAAATTTCAAATTTTATTCATGTGTATTAATTAACATTGTGTTTGCAGGTCCATCATTAGTCGCTCAGGATCAAACTGAAGAATTAAAACAATGTATGATCCCGTACGGCGCATACGAGTCGAAGTCAGAAGCAAATCGTCGGGTGGAAGTGCTCGGTGCCCTGCACCTACTGGTGCAGCAGTGGATCAAGGAGCAATCCTTAAAGAAGGGTCTGCCTGCTTATGTGGCCCATTCTGCAGGTGGACTTATATGTCCTTTTGGATCCTACAGGCTGCGAGTAAGTGTACTTTATAATCTATTTATTTAATGTATACAAATTGTGTTCACGATGTTATGCCACGGATATTCTCTTTCAGTCCCGAACGTTGGTTGAAAAATACAGGGTGTAAGGGACAGCCCTCCACAAATTAACAGGGTGCATTCAGCTCCTTATTCTGAATCATATTCCAGTGAAAATTCTTTCAGGAAAATTTTCAATTTTTTTTTCGTTTTTTCAGTTCCTACACCTCTATTTCAATGTATAATTACATTCTATGTATGAAGAATAACATTAATGTAAATAACACAGCTAAAACAAAAAAATACGCAATGGTTGTGTGAATTCTCTAAAGAACTACGCATGAAATCAGCTGTTCAATTTCTACCTAGCGCGAGTCGTTTGAACTCACCGCACCGCGGTCACGGCGCAGCGGCTCGGCGCCCCACCGCGCCGATCGCCGCGCCGCCGTAGGTATACCTACGATCCCGTCCAACGTACAGAATAGCTGCGTCCCTTTCTGTCGATTGAACCAGTGTTGCCAACTTTTAACTTTTGTTACTTCTACCTTTCTACCTTTCTACCTTTCTACCTTTGTAAACGAAAATGTTAGAACTATCGAAATTTATCTAAAACTTGAGAACTCCTTTGCATTCATAATCACATTGATGAGATTTTCATTAATCAATTAATGAAAATCTTGTCGCGCACATAAATTGAATAAAAAATAAATAAAGATTAGTCTAGTTTTAATTTTAAAGCATTTACAAATACTACCTAATTTATTAATTGATTGTTCTTTTTAAGCGATTACTGGCTAGTTTTTAAACTACTTACAGATTTTTACATGGCTTCACAATAGCCATGAATTGATAGTCGAGCCAGAAATTAAACACAATCTCCCTGGAATGGAAGCACAGCTTTCTATCACACTGCACTTTTATTATTCTAAATTAACTAAACAATGAAATTAGAATTAAATTGATTTAATCAATTCATTTCTCTACAAAAAATAACAGAATGATAAATTACGACCATGCATAATTTTTAATTTTTTACCCCGAAATTTTGTACCTAATTTTCGTGTAATTGGCAACAACAGATTTATGTTTGTGTGTGTCTCATCACATGCAGTCGCCATTGTGCCTTGCTGCGATGTTACTGTTTATGTTCCGCGAGCGTGTGTTGGTACGGATCGCTCGCGCATTCGGCTTAAAAGTTTTATTATAAGTAGTGTTGTTAAGTTTTATTAGTTATGTAGTGTGTGAAGTGTAGTGAAGTTTTGTTGTAGAAATTGTGCGAAATTACTACCTAGGTACGTTTAGCGCGCGTGATTATGGGGAGATGATAATGTGTTGTAGTAGTGTAGGTATCCTGACCGTCGGCATCCATCAGACTCCAGGATAATTACTGGTGACTATCAACGCTTGCTAGAAAACCAGCCCATTGTTCCTAGACAAAAAGGCGCCGAAAGACCAATACCTACGTGGATTTTGGAATTGGTTCGCTAACGTAACGAGACGCTACCACTTACCAGTGCTTTCCTATTTAAACGTAGTTTAGGTAGGTTTGGACCGCAACCGTGGCCAGCACGATCCCCAGACGTAACCCCATTTGGACCCCTTTTTGTACGTAAAAGAAAAAGTGTTTGTGAGTGCGTGTGCAAGTGAGTACGAAATGCGAGACCGCATCACAAATGCTTTCCAGAGCCGGAAACCGGAGCGATTCCAAGGTACCTACGCATTTTTCTTTTTTTATCATTTATCAGTTACCATGTTATGATTGTTAGATTTTCTTTTGTTAGTAATGCGGCTATCTTTTAAATAATAATTTATTGTTATTAAAACGTGGCGCGAGCGCGATTATTAAATTGTCTTTTGTAAGTAATGCGGCTATCTAGTAAATAATAAGTTATTGTTATTAAAACGTGGCGCGAGCGCGACCGTTTGTCCGAAAGGTAAGGTCGCGGCGCTGCCCATAGTGTAAAGTAATAATACTAAAAGCGCTGCCGTTCGCTGCGTGCGTTTGCGGTGGTAGCGATACATTGCGTGTAAGGTAATGAAACAAATCGGTTTAATTGGATTCCCATAACGTTCCTGAAATAATTTCATGTACCGGTCAACTTAAGACGATATACTGAATCCACCCTATCAGTTTGCGGAAGGCTGTCCCTTACACCCTGTATATCGAAATATTCGGAATAATGTTTTTCTTTTATTAAAATATATTTTTAAGCCTCACTCTAAGATTACCACGTAGGTGATTTTCTATTTTGAAATGAACTCACAAATATCTATTGTTTAACAGGTTCACCCGAGATTTGCTGAAATCGACTTGTTATGCGTTGCCCCGCGACACATACAAAGGAGTGACTTTTTCACTTCTTTGTATGAATTGCTAAAGGGTCATCCACAGGTTAGTATAATATAACTTGTTTGACTATTTTGTCAGTAGAGTGAATATATCAACAAAGATAACATATGTACTAATAAATGTTGGTTCTAATTAACTTATTAATTTTGTGCAGGTGACGGAACTGCGAGCATTACAAAACGCTTACGTTCCGGTCATCAAGATGACCTTTAGCCAAATAAGAATAAATCTCTTATTCGCAAGTGTGGATTTCCCTAAAATTCCTGGTAAGACAAAACCTTCGCAAGCTAACCTTGTTCGTCAAACAGTCCATTTATATTGATATACATTTTAGTAAAAGTTTATAAATATTTTTTCACTGCCTTGTAGACCCGTCTAGAAATTCTGTTTAAAGCATGTTACCAAGTTGTACCACAGTGCTTGAGAGCTTATATGCAGATTTGCTGCTCGTCTCTCGGTGGCTGATCACAGCTTTTCTTGTGCTCGGGTTAAAAAATTACAATGTGTCGTTGTTTGTAGTTTCTTTGAACCTGCGGGACGATACGCTGCTCAAAAACATGGACTACAAGTGTGTGCGCTCGGTAAACTGCTACCGAGCCACGGAGGAGATCATGCGCCTTGTGCCCAATGTCAGCCACTTCAGGGGCACTCTGCGCGCCGTCAAACTTTGGGCTCAACGTACGTATAATAAAAATAATATATTTTTAATAGCTGCTGAAAAATAGCTATCTTCCCTTAAACTGTCACCTGCTTAATGCAACTAGTCATAACGCAAATTGTTCTATCTTGTAGCGAGCACTGATTCGTCATTATTTTTTCATCAAGTCAACCATCAATTCAATAAAAGCCTTCTTACCAAAAAGGACACGAATTGGAGAAATAATTCTCAATCCGTGTTTATTTTTGCATTGCTTGCATAAACTCTTACACTGTTGTGAAGTGTAAACTTGTAACATGACCTTTGAATTTTTGATGTTATTTAATTAATCGTGTGGACAGGTCGCGGAGTATTCTCCAACACACTTGGGTTCCTGGACAACGTGTCGTTGGCTATGTTGGTGGCGTATACGTGTCAGCTGTACCCTGACTCCCTTCCGTCCACGCTGGTTCACAAATTCTTTTGTGTCTTGGCTCAATGGAAGTGGCCACAACTTGCTCGGCAAAAGAATTCCAAGGCTATCACCATGTTTCCTTTTTGGGATTCTGCAGTGAGTATTCTTTTGTCTCTTTTTCTTTAATTTTTCAACACGTGTGTGAATGTATTTTTGGATTTACTTTCTTACGGCTTTTGAATAACATGACGTAATGAATTATAATCAGTTCGTTATACAATAAGATGACATTTTATTTCAGGTGGACGTATCGCACTTTTTTGAGTCGATGCGAATTGTAACCCCACTGTATCCGGAGCATACCTCCACCTTTAACATGTCCAAATCCACGAGGACTATAGTCATGGAGGAAATAAAAATAGGTAAGCACGATATCAGTCATTTCACACTTAATATACTACGAGTGTCCACACCAAAAGTAACGTGAAATTATTATTATTTTCGATGACTAGCAATTGGCTAGCGTGGACTGATTAACAATAAAACTAGTGATAAAAAGGTTATATATTTACCATTTTGATTTGTTCACAGGTCTGACGGCAACGGTCGATATATTATTAAATAAACGTGGATGGGCTAATTTATTTGAGAGTACCGAGTTTTTCTCCCAGTACAAGTACTACTTAGTACTGATGGCCTCCTTCGTTAGCCCGGAGGACCAGCTGCAGGGGAGAGAGCTCGTTGAAAGCAAAATACCAAACCTAATACGTAAGTCACACATTTCACATTTTACAAACAGTTTTAAATATCTGTTTTGAGCATCCATTTTTTTGTATCAACTTTGTCAGCGTCTACATATTGTTATATAATGATGTATATTTGTTACAGAATCACTGGATGGGAACTCTCAAATAAGTTTAGCCCACCTCAACCCAGAGTGCTATAAATCTGTGCCGTTAGACACTAATGATGGACAGCCACTGGCCTTGCCACTAGGTATGTACTTACACTAATTACTGCTACTATATAGATCTGTTGTTTTATTCATGGGAAACGAGCAGACGATTCACCTGATGGTAAGCAAGCGGCGCCGCCCGTGGACGCTCGTAAAATCAGAGGTTAGAGTTTCGGTGATGAAGGGGTATTCTTCCTTCAGTTACGTTAATCACACGCCAAAACTTGTCGAATGTTTTATTTATATATTAGTATTACTTAGACCTTTGTTTGTTTTTGCAACATCGTCTATAAATTCATTTCTGTTTTAGGAGCATCAGTGCCGACTGACCGATCGCCAGAATTACAGGAGGACGAAAACGTATGTAACTTGTAATTTCCGCATTTTCCACAACTAACAACTCGACATAATGTAAAAGTATAACATTCAATAATAATTCAGTACCTTACTTTTTTGCTTATATGACAGTCTCAATAAAATTTATATCTATATTTCAGGGTGAAATCATAGCCAACTACAGCTCGATGTGGTTCATCGGACTAGTTCTCGAAAAGGCAAATCCGAAGGTGGATGTTAAATTTGAAACCCGGATCTTTAGGAAGGCCGTCAACAGTGAGGCAGAGACATCCAATATTCTAAGAGAAGGGATCTTAATTGAGGTAACTATCATTTCTTTATTATAATCTGAATGAAAACGTTATAAATAGGTGACGAGTCACGACTGCCTTCTTATGGTTGGTATGGTACATTGGTCTGCTTGGAAATTCGAACCTCTAAACACATTCGATTTAGTCTTTGTCACATACTCTGTTAATGGAGATGAAGTCACAATTTGGAAAATCACGAACATTTAATGTGTAATGGGTTTTGCAAATAATCGTGGTGTGATATTGCAGACGGAGCTAGTGGAACGAGGTCAGCTGTACCAGTACGTGTCCAGTCCTCTGCTGCTCGGCGAGCTGACTTCTCCGAGCACCGAGTGCCAGAAGAACAATTTGTTTAAGTCCCCACTTCCTCACAAAACAAAACGGCCCGCAGAGAGCAGCATCCATGCCGAGACACCCATAAAAAAACAAAAATACTGCACTTCCAACGTTAGTTAAATAATTTGTTTGTTCCACGTATATTATTACTGTTATTTTTTGATATTTATTCTTCATACATTTTATTACATCTACCAGACCATATCCACATTTTATCACATTTTACAACAGACCTACATGAATCGCCGAATGCCCTTGGATGCACATCCATAGTCCATTCAAGAATATATGCCGGCTAATGTGCCATCACATTTTGATTAAAATTATTCAACGTGCCTCTGCGAGTTTGCTTTGGGCCCTCGTACGCCTTCCAAGGGTCTGGGATTCTGTGGTCTCGTGAAAGAAAAGAACAAGCATTAAAATAATAATGTAAGCCTTCGTTTGGACCAAACACCTTTCACAAATATTGTTAAATTAGTGACTCTTTTAGACGTTGACAGCGAAGCTTTTTCTGATAGCTCAATTTGGCAAAGGCCTCCTCAATCCATATCTACTCTATTTTGTTTAACGGTTTCTTTCTCCATGTTCTTCCTGCTTTGCCTTTATATAGTATTCCCACCTTTTGTTTTCCTGTTTATTATGTGATACCAGATCATTATGTTTAGGTACCCCTTTCTGTACACCCTGTCCATTGCCACTTAGTTTTCCGTATACCTACTGGTTGCTATTTGTCCTAATTTTTTAGTAGTTTGGTTGCGTATTTTTTCTAGCATCTTCAGAATGCCATATCCATTGATGACTAGCAAGTTTATTATTTTTGTTTTGCATCTTTTTAACAACGTTGGTTTTACAACTCAATGTGAGAACAGGTTTACACAGGGTTATAATGTTTTGATTTTTACTTTATATTTCATAAGTTCTTTTGTCTTCAGTGTCAATTCCAATTCTTGCATTTCTTTACCGATTTTTGTATCAATTTCCTTTGTCATAATATCTAATTAGAGGTCTCTTGATACAGAAAGGTGTATTCTTACTAGATTGGTAGATTATGCAGTACATAAGTAGTAGTAGATTTCGCAGTTTATGTAGAGAATATTGTTGCATTAGATGTTGGAGACATCGTCATCGTTAGATCTATCATGCGGCTAGCTACGCCCATGTTTTGTAGATGTTCTTTTAATTCCGCGAATATTATAATATCATCTGCGAAATGTAAGTGGAATAGTTTCTCCTCATTTATATTTAGACTATTTGTACTAAGTTTACTGTTCGGAAAATAGCTTCTATGACAGCTGTGTATAAGTTAGGCGACAATGGATCTCCTTGTCTTACCCCACTGTTTGTTTTTTAACTTTTGTGTCATTTCCTTCTTTCTAATATTCTAACTTTATCGGAGCTGTACTCGTTACATATATGTTTTGTATAATTCTTTTATACTTTCGGTTCTCTCCTTGGTTATTTAGACAAGACTTTATGTTCGTGTTCAATTGAGTATTCGACTCAATTGCCTTGTAATAGCCAAATGAACAGCAAAAACTTTGCCTCACAACTTGTATGGTCCAGTGTATCCTGCCGTAAATCCAGCTTGTACCCGTGGTGGGTTTTCATCCAGGGTTTTTGTTATCCGACCTAAAATTACTTTGGAGAAGATTTTATAAATATGAGACAGTAGCCTGATCAATCGATAGTTCTCTTTATATCAGAGTTTTCACCCTTTTTGTTTCAGCAAAAAAATATATTTTAGTATCGGTGCGATGCAGTTCCTACACTATAAAAGCAAGTCCTGGAGCTTTGAACCTTCTTCTGTGTATTGATTGCCTTGTGTATTTCTTCCTCTAGAATAGGCGGAATATTATCTTGGTTGTTTAAGTCGGTAATTGTTATTTGGCTCTTTCTGGAAAACAGGTGTTTGCAGAAACTCGTTGGTTTTGACAAAATGTCTGATCTCTTAATTTTTAGTCGTGCAGTGTGGATCTTCCATGTTAGGCATTCATTTGATTTTGTCTGTTAGAATTTTATGAGCCTTTTTATATCTCCTGTTTTATTATATATTTTTAAAACGGCTCGTTGAAAATATTATCTCAGTCATTACTGGTTTCTATTTTAATTTCTTTGTTCAGTGTTCCTATATGTTCTCTTATAGGTAACTCGCTCTGCTCATTAGTAATGATCTTTTAATCGTTTCTTTTTCTAATTTATTGCCCTTAGTATAAGAAAAAGTTCCTGAATGCAATATTCTCTTTTGTTTACTAACTAGTTATAAGTGTCACGTGATAGGATAAGAAATTGTATTACCTATGTGAATATGTAATATTTTAATACTGTAACATAATATTGCAAGGGATAGATAGTCAACTTTTGATTTTAATTGTAAATGTAAATATAACAAGTATTACTGTGATATTAACAATGTTCCAGGGTATTTACCTAGTTGTAAATAGTTTTAAGAAACTATTGTGCAGACTCAAACTGTTTTATTAATTAAAAAAATGTTGAATCTATAAAATCTGTTGTTTTGTTATCATTCCCTAAAAACATTAAGCTTTAGAGATCAACTCGATTTTTCCATACAATCTCATTTATCATACCAAGTATTGGTAAATACATACTTTATAGTTCACTCAAGTAAACAAATGAATCACTTATTAGCCTGTATAATATGACGATGTCCTTTTACAATAACTGCTTTAAAACCGCTGAAAAAAGGGAACATTTGTAGGTACATAACATACTAACGTGGAAGTACAAAAAAAAAATACGTTTAAAAAAACCGACTTCAAAAACAAAAAAGTGTCAAATAAGTAATTAAAATTGATATTTTAATACCACTCTTACGTACGCGAAGCTAATACTTTTAATATTAATAATAAAACACTATCAATTCTATGTGCTACCTATTCATAGGTTTGAAGTCGGTGCCAAGCCTAATACATAATATAATATAAACACTCGCCGGGCGCGTGTGAATTTATTTGTTAGGATTTAAGAAATTTAGTACCGATTTTCTAACTTTATGGCATTTGCGTAGAATCAGAAGTCTATATGGTTGCGTTACCGGCGAAACTGTATATAGCTTAGAAAGATATTTGGATGAATTATGAAAGTTTTCTCGTACTTGGTTGTTAAAAGTAGTAGTAGATAGCTGCGTTGTTAGTTGTGGAAATTTCGTCTTTTAGCAATTAAACAGTCTTAATTCTCATTTAGTTTTATTCTGTTTAGGGCTTGGCACCGACTTCAAACCTATGAATAGGTAGCAAATAGAATTGATAGTGTTTTATTATTAATATTAAAAGTATTAGCTTCGCGTACGTAAGAGTGGTATTAAAATATCAATTTTAATTACTTATTTGACACTTTTTTGTTTTTGAAGTCGGTTTTTTTAAACGTAGTTTTTTTTATTTTTTACTTTTTAGTGTCTGTTACAAGTTCTTCTGTAAACTACAGTAACATTTTAAATATAAATTAACATATTGAATAGTATATATTTTTTAAGTAGCTTTGTGTAGGCCTACAAAAGGAGCCGCTCGATAAAAAAAATATAGATCCCAAGAAATGGCGAAGTTCTCATCATCATCATCATCAGCCATTTTAATGTTCCCACTACTGGAACACAGGCCATCTCTCTAAGAAAGTTTTTAACAATATAAATTAAGTCCAAACACGAGGTAGCTACTGTAAACCGTTGAGGAGTTCCCAGTCTAGGGAACTCCTCAACGGTTTCGTTGCTTCGTCTTCATCATCAGATCCCTGATGACAATCACAATCGATCTAGATGTAAAGTTCTTATCAAAACGAATTAATTAAGCTCAAACACAAGGAAGCTGCTATGAATCGTTGAGGAGTTCTCTCGACTGTCTCTCGGTTCCATCCGGAATTCCCACGACGGTCAATGGTCTCCATCATCAGGTAAACTGCAGACCTTCAGTTGTTATAATACATACAGGTACAAAGTTTTCATCAATATAAATGAATTAAGTTCAAACACGAAGTAGTTACTGTAAACCGTTCAGGAGTTCCCTGAGCTGTCCTTCGTTCTCATTATCAGACCCTTAATGACAGTTACAACCAAGCCTGCTGCAAAGTGCTCGTCAATACGAATCATTCAAGCCCAAACACAAGGCAACTACTTCAAATAGTCAAGGAGATCCCTCGACTGTCTTCCAGCTCCAACATCTGGTCGACTTCGACCTTCGTCAAGTTGTAGTGTTGTTAAAGGCCTACTTAAACATCATACAAAAACACTACTCGCCCCTACAATTTTCGAAAGTTCCCCTCGGTTTCTCCAGGATTCCATCATCAGATCCTGACCTCATGACAATGGGACCAAATGGCAAGTATACTCTACCGAATAAAAAAAGAATTTTGCAAATCGGTCCAGGCGTCTTCGAGTAATAGGTGTACATACATAAAAAAAAAAAAAAAAAATACGCGTCGAATTGAGAACCTCCTCCTTTTTTGAAGTCGGTTAAAAAGAGAGTAAAACGGGGTGAATAGACACAGTAGTTGTTGGGGTGTTGCGACGAATGCTTCGGCAATACCCGACACATGGGTGAGTGGAGGAACACCGGGTTGGTTTTTAGTCAGTAAGAGTCTGACAGTACCCTTCACCCTTCCCCGAGGGCGATGGATCTCCATGAGGATTTTCCAACCCAAAACCAAAAAAAAAAATAGGTAATTAGGGTTAAATATGTAGTATATAGTACTAGGAAAATTCGCTAACATATATTCACCCCTTTCGTGTATTTCACCCTTCAAATTCTATTCACCCCGTTCCAAGGTGCTGATTTCAATTACAGTATTTCCAAAAAACTGTAGCGAAGACTACAAGAATTTATAGCTTAAATTAGTCATAGCTTCAAGTTTTTTTTGGTGCTTATTAGAAATCAGTGGTTAAAACTTGTGTGCTCATTTATTTAGTACCAACTTAGTTTAAAGCCAGTTTTAGTTTCGTGGCCGGAGATCGTCGTTCGATCCCCAACACCCGGAGTGTCGCCGTGTATGTCTACATCGCCATGTATGGTGATCCACGATTCAGGCATTAAAGAAATATTCAAGAATATTGAACAATGTAGAACTTGTCAATAGCTACATTCATAATCGATTGATTTAAAATTCAAGGTTAAGTTAAAATGACGGAGAAAGTTAGAAACTTAGAAACTCTGTGGCATTCATGCCACAGAGTTTCTAAGTTTCTACTGATGATTCCTCATTTCCAAAATGTAACTTATACTGCAAAAATCATTCCGGAATCCAATACTACTGAGAAAGATGAATTAAGTCCTAGGGAAATATTCGATTCGATAGTCAGCCAAGGATAGAGTCAAGGTGTACCAGTCTGTGCGGCCATAAAGGAAGAAGATATGTTTATTATTACAAGCGTATGGAACTGTCGCCTGGAGTGATGGGAAGACCGAATTTAGTACAAATATTAATTTAATTATCAAACACTAACATGCACGGTCGCAACTTTGTTGATGTTGTACTCGGAGACATTAAGTGAGGATGACGCGCCGCTTTTAAGACAAAAGAAATATTATATACACCTTTCGTACATGTGGTGTATTTTTGGTTTCATAACATTTCTTTATGGCATTTACAAAGAACAATTGGTTATAGTACCTAACACGCAAATAAATCATCAACATCATTTTCGTTGCAATTGCTACGCCGGTGCTACAGCGCTACGACGCGTCGTAGCAGAAATATCATGGCCGCGACGAACCTATAATTGAATAAGTGAAAATGATAATGGCGGCTCGCTTTGTGTATTCTGTCCTTGCACTCTTGCCTCCGAGGCGGAGCATAGAGGAAAGTAAAGCCTCACCCCACCGAGTGTGCAGAGGCGGGGTATGTAAGGCGGGGCCAACGAGACGGCACTACCTGTACTTAAGATATTTTGTTTAATAAAAACAAAGAAGCGACAAACAATCCCAGTAGATTAGAATAGAAGGGACAGCCCCGGATACTTATTATTCAACTAATAACATCTTGTATAAAGATGGCGTAGAATGGGTTGAAGATTTAAAATACGTTTTTACTTAACCTCATTACTTTTAACAAAGAATGTTTAGTACTTAAGCCAAATACAATTCTATAAACAATTATATTTGAAAAGAAAGTCAAGACAAACTCGCTTTAGGTAAAGAAATTAACAATGTCAGGTGCAATAGTAGCCGAGACAAATTCGTGGAAACGTATAAATATACCACATGCACGGGAGCTATAAACACGAATACTGTTATTGGAATGGGTCTCCAATTCATGTCTTAATAATAATTAGTTAGAACTAGCTTTAAGATATTCAGTTAATAATATAATCGGTGTACATACATAAATAAAATACGCGTCGAATTGAGAGCTTCCTCCTTTTTTGAAGTAGGTCAAAATTATATTGTAAATAAGATTTAATATATATCTCTTTCATATACGCATGTTTAACTTTTAATAAGAAACGACGGCAAACACACATCTTATGGTAAGCATTCGGCGCCGGCCGGGGAAGCCCAGCGAGACGCAAATGCATTGCTAGACTTTTTGGAATTCGTTTTGGTATCAAAACGCAATCATTATGTCTAGCCTGTATCACTTCGGTTCAGCCCATTCGTGTCAACAAGGCATACCTATGGCAGGCTAAATTATGAAAGACGACAGTTTGAAAGTACTTTTACTCAGTAGTATATAAATCCGTACAATAACTTTAGCCTGATGTTGTTTTAAGTAGGTAAAAAAAGTCTGACATTAGATACAGAGCTCCTGGGGTTTACAAAAATGTTTAAAGATTGCAAAATACATTTTTAACAAAAGAATGGTCAGTAGTTTTATTGCGGTCACAAGAATTAGTAATATCGCAAATTCAATAGGTTTCGGGTGCACTGATAAGATAGAAATTAAGACAAAGGAATTTCAGACAAAAGAGTCAATGGCGGTATCGTGTGAAAGTTTGTAAATATTAATAAACAAAGCTTTCTTGTAAGGGCAAGGAAGGAACTTGAGGTAGTGTTCCTCGGAGCGTGATAGTGTATGGTTGTGACTAGGAGACTTTAACGACTTGACGCTGAGTTATTTGCTACTCGCCTAGAGCTATACCAGTGGAGTTTGTACTTAGTGCTTGCTGCGTGTGTCGTGTTAAGTGTGCGAGACCCCTGAATCGCTGAGACAAGTTGGTAAGTGGTTGATTTTATATATGAGATCCTGTATTATTGTTCCATACTATGTGTTTATTTAGAATTACTTTTCCAAAGTGTGAAATATAAATTGTTTCCAAATAACATGAAGGAATTTAAAGAAATTAGGTTTTCAGCTATTGTAGATTAGGTATCGGCGAATTCATAGTTAGGATTTCATATCAAAACTGCAATTAGGTGTTGATGGGCAGTTTGCTTAGTCTCATATTGTATTTAATTACTTTTATGCCCAAACCATACCTGGAGAAAAGTTATTGTTATGTTTTAGCATGTCTCTGCATACCTCTTTGGCGTAAAGGCGTGATTTTACGTTACATGTTGTTGATACTATGGATAAAGCTCAATAACCGTCACTGAAACTGTCAAACATCAAATCGTAACCGTTTGTACTTGAGAGATAAGTCAATGTTTCAGTTTGTCCTTTTTCTCTAACCTGCGATCAGTCTCTCAGACCAGAATCATGTGAGTTACAAGAGATTGGGGTTTAGCGAGGTAGAGTCACTGTTCCAACTCCCCTTAGTTTTAGCACATCGGCTCTCTTGAGTCTTATAATCGGGTTTGGCTGTAAAAGCAAACTGGATAACAGGTGTGGGTGAATTGTTGAGCGCTCCTTGTAGTTAGTAGCATATCGTTTAGCTTTATCCAAAATGGTTGGGATTTCCAAATAGTCGTGGATCTCTGTAGTGCGTGCATACCAGGGCGCCGATGAGAGGGTCCTTAGAATATTGTTTTAAGCTCTTCGGAGGCACATACAATTTGATAATAAATTTGGTGGCACAATTTTGTAGCTTTGTTCGTATTTACGGTTAAATCGCTATTTCTGGCAAGTTCAACCATATCTATCTACTAGCAATTCCACCCGCCACCCAAATCCCATTAGTCGAAGCGTGATTCCTATACACTCCTTTTTAGTAAATACTTTTATGATTAGCGCGTTCCAACAAGCTGAAAAAGTAATTTTTATGTAAAATCATTGTAAATTATAAAGGACTTTCTTTTATTTGGATACAGTACTGAGTTACAAATTCAACTTAAAGACATTTTTTTTTCAAAGATAGCCACACCATGCATTATTTGTAAAAAAACAATGCATTCCGGTGTCAATTAAATTATATTTTTCTTTCTTTCTGTTAAACAATGAAATGGCCGTAGAAATTTATAGAAATATGTATACAACATTAATAAAAAAATGAAGTATATAAGAAAATAAAATAAAAATCGAAATAAATATTAAAGTATAATTACCGTATCAAAATCAAAAACAAAACTTTAACAAACTCCTTTAGCCAAGAGGTACAATCTGGTTTTCTTCGAAACCCGCCAAGTAAGTGAGTCTCATCAGTTGTAGTGTATGATACGGACCTTGTGGAATGTAGAACAAATCGTGCGTTTAGGCGTTTTTGCCATACCTATTACTGGTAACAACTAAAACAGCTCACTTATAGGTTCCATTACAATACAAAATTTTCCGTGGTGTATTGTGACTGGGCTTCTCCTAGTTGTACAGCCTCTTGTGTGCCTTTAAGGCCTAAGTCATTCTGTTTCCTGCATTAAATTTATTACCACGGATGTGGAAACTATTTCGTGTTTTTTTTCTCTTCAAATAATATTTCGTTACGGGAGCCAAGACAGTCATTCAGGTCCCTGGGACAGACTTCAGTGTTCCGGTGTTTTCATGGTTGTATTTACTGAAGAGCCTGGCTTACAAGAGTTGCAGCGGCTTTGGTAGGATGCGGATGGATTTTCCCATTAAAAAAATGACTTGCCTCTCATTTTATAATGGCTCCTTTTAAGCTATACCAGAAGAGTAATGCCGCCAAATGCCATAGAAACCGTTATAGAACCCTCTCTAATCTGAACGTATACCTACTAGTTGTGGTCGTCGTACTTTTTGTAAACTAGTCTGTGAAACTTGTGACTGTTGTTAGGAGTAATTAAGCTAGGAACTGTTACTAAAAAATTTTATTTAGAAAATTTCCTACTTTATACCAATAATAGTAAAGCTTGTTTAATTTGCAACTATTCTGTTCAGTAAGATTGCTCGACTAGTTTCAAGCCTTCGAACATTTCGCATGATTTAGCTTTCCAAAGATAGTATATAAAGATATTTGGCTGACAATGTCCTTTCTGATAAGAAAGCATACAGAGTCAATCTTTAAAGAATTTTGGAACTTGTTTGTCATAAAACCGTCATCGAAATGAACCGAG